TTTTTTTTTTTTTTTTTTTTTTTTTCTTTTCGTCTTACTATAGAAATTTAATTTTTTTTTTTAATTATACTAATAACCAAAATTTACTAAAAAAAAAGTGAATTAAAAAAAAAAAAAAAATAAAGGAAAATAAAAAATGAAGCAAAATAACGAATAATATAAATATAAAAAAAATAAATAAATAATTTAAAATAATATAAAAGAATATTCTTACAAATTATGATAAATTATGTTTTATATATTTATATTTTTTTACATTTGGTATTTTAAAAATTATGTAAAACTATGTTAATTTTTTTTTTTTTTTTTTTTGAGAAATAAAAAGATTATAACATATATTTTAATATGTATTCTTAAAGTGTGCTTTAAATATATATATTTTTTATAAACATTCATTCTTAATTTATAATTTTAGAGTTATTCTAATATTCATATTCTATTTATTCATTACTTGCTAACAGAAATAATATTCAAACCAAATATGTTAAAATTTATAGGTAAAAAATAATATAAAATTATGTGTATATCATGAATTTAGTAAATTTACTACTATATTAACTATATTTATTTATATTATCTATTCTACTATGTTTTCACTACTTCCTCTATCTTTACTTTTATGTTTTCTTCTATCTTTACTTTTATGTTTTCTTTTATCTTTACTTTTATGTTTTCTTTTATCTTTACTTTTACTCCTGCTTCTATTTTTACTTATATGTTTGTGTCTATCTTTACTTCTATTCTTTTTTATGTTTTTACTTTTATATTTATCTTTTTCTTTGCTTATATCTTTATTTATATGAATATTTTCCTTTTTTTCACTTTTTCTTTTATATACACATATACTTTTATCTAATTCCTTTTTTATATGATCATTTTTATTTTTACATTCATAATTTTTTTTGTTTTCTTTACTTTTGTCTTCTCTATTATATAAATTTTTTCTGGGAATTTTCATATCAAATTTTATATTTTGTTCCTCCATGTATTTGTTGGAGGGTTTTTTTCTTTTATATTCATAGCTCTCATTTTTAATATAATCATTATAATTAGGTTCATCCTTATTTATATTATCATTTTGTAATCCATCTTTTTTTATATTTTCATTTTTGATATTTCTATATTTATCTTTTATAGATTCTTCGAATTTTAATGCCCATAATTCATCTTCATCTAATAATTTTCTTCTCTTCTCTTCATTACATTTTTTGTCTATTTTTTCGAAAGCTTTTGACAAATTAATTTCACTTTCAATTACGTTATACACCCCTATTCCTTTTCCTTCAGCACCTGTTGGTTTGTATTCATTTTCATTCTGAAAAAAAAAAAAAAAGTAAAAGAAATTTAACAAAAAATAAAATAAATTAATAATAATAATAATATATAACATAGTTAAAATAAAAATAAGGATTACCTCATTACTAGAATATTTATTAGGTAATTTGTAATTCAATATATGATCAACTACTAATGGTCTATCTAAAAGTTTATAGCCGTTAAAATTATCAACAGCTAATACTGTGCTTCTTTGATCTGCATATGATAAAAAACAATACCCTTTTGATTTTCCTAAAAAAAAAGGGAAATAAATAACAAAAGGAAAAATATAATATGTTACAAGTGAGATTTAAAATAAAAATAATTTCTAGTAATTCTATTATATTACCTGTTTCTTCATCACGTACTAAGTTAATATCTATTGGTTCTCCATACTGTGAAAATACTATTATAACATCCCCTTCTGTTAATCTATTATCTAAATTACCTATATATGAAAATTTAATATTTTTTTTTTTTTTGAATGAAAAAAATTAAGTATAAAAATTTTAGTATATAATTAATTAAATTTCATTCAAACTATTCTAATTTCTAATATAATTTTTTTATATAATTTTCATATTTTTTAAAACTTCTTATTACCTATATATATATAACTAGAATCTTTATATTGGTCATGCCATGAACTATCACTTTGTCCAATGTTTTTTAATTCAGCTTCATTTATTTTTTCAATACTTTTTATCTTATCAAATATTCCCATATTTAATTTAATTAATTTTTATTTAAAAAAATTACGTTGTTATGATTCTTTTTTTTTTTTTTTTATTGTTGTAGTAATATAAAATATATAAAAAAGAAGATAATAAGTTATTTAACCATTTTAAATAAAATGTATTATAGATACCAAAAAAACAAATATTTTCATAATTTTATTTCATAAAATTTTATAATTTGTCAAATTTCAAAATTTTTTGTTACAACTTTTACCACATAGATATATTTTTTTTTTTTTTTAAATTATTTCATATATTTTTACTATATATAAGATTATTGAAAATTTTTCATTAATTACAAAAGTAAATTTAAATAGAAAAAAAGGTTGTTTCTTAAATAATTTACATTTATTTAATGAAAAATTTCTAGAAAAATTAAGTTCTTTGTTTTTATAATGAAAAAATGTTTAAATAGAATTTCCTAAAAAAATTAATGATATTTGTGTTTTGAAAAAAATAGTTGATTAAATATACCCTTAAAAATTCCAAAAAAAAAAAAAAAAAAGTAAAATAATAATTGAAAGAAATATCAATATAATTTTGAAAATTATAAAAAACGAGAGTTTAATATGTGTAAATTAATCCCATATATATACTTATAAAAAAAAAAAAAATTTTTAAATCTCTATAAAATTATAAAATTTCAGAATAAATTATATATATTTTTATCATAGTTTTTCATAATAAAAAAAAAGATAATTTCTTATTAATTTCAAAATGTTTGTAAATAGAATAAAATTTTTAAAATATTAAATTTATTTAATGAATCATTTAATATATATTTATGTTTATATATATATATATATATATATTTTTTTTTTCTTATAAAGAATATATTTTTTTTTAAATAACAAAAATGTTATAAAAATAAAAAAAAAATATATATATACACATATATTTGACATGTGTAGAATATTATTTTTAAACTTCAAAAAGCATACACTATAATTACTTATATTTGTAATAAAATATTTTAAAATTTAAGAATATTTTAAATAATTTTTTTTGCAAATGAAATCATGCAAAATTAATAAATTCAAATCTTTACGTTTTTTTAATACTGAAATTTTTTATTAAAGAATAATCCATTATAAAAAAAAAATGAAATATGGAAATTATCTTTATATTCATTTACATTAATAAAAAACAAATATAACATAAAAATTATATATATATATATATTTATATATATGTATATATATGTCTTTTCTTTTCATTTTACTCACTATTAACATTCAGGGAAGACAAATTTGAACATTTAAAAAAATTATTTTTATATTTTATTTTTAATTCTTTTTTTTTTAACTATTAAAGTACTATTTTCATTATGTTCATGTTTTATATTTTCATCAAATATATTTATCTTTCTCTTACATTCTTTTAATTTATTATTATTATTATTATTATACTGTTTACTATCTTTTTTCTTAATAAAATTAACAACATTATTATTCGTAATTGTATCATTCATTTTGTTACATAAATCTACATTATTATTCTCCATTTTATTTTTATCTATTACACATATATCATGAAGTTCTTTACTTTCCTTAAAATTATCTTCACTTAATTCATACATTTTACATATATTACCTTTATTTATATTTTCACTTAAAGTATTATGACTGTTTGTGTTATCATTACTTATAATTTCATTAATAATATTTCCATTATATATATTTTCATTAATGTTTTCATTATTTACAATTTTGTTAGTTATGTCTTGATTATCTATAATTTTATTACTAATGTTTTCATCATCTATAATTTTATTACTAATGTTTTCAATATTTGTAAATTCATTGATCATGGTTTTATTATTTATATTCTCATTTAAAATAAAATTTTCTGTGTTTAAATTACTTTTCATCAATAGTTCATTACTATTATTTTTCACTTTAGAAAAATATGGAGTATTTTCTATTTGTTTATTAATAGTACTATATAAAATGGAATTTTGCATATTCGTTAAATTATTATGAATACACTGAAATTGTTCTTTTTTTTCATTAATAATATTTATACTAGAATTTTTTATAGAGTTTATATAATCCTCTTTATTTTCACATATTTTCAAATTCTTGTTCATATATACTTCACTTTTAATTTCTTTATTCTCATTTATATTATTTACATTTTTTAAATTGTCATCACAATAGCTCTCACTATCTATTGTGTTACTATTATTTATTATATCTGCTTCATTACTGATGTAATGATTATTTAGCATATTACTTTTGATTCCTTTTAAGTTATCGTTTAAGAAAATATCTGTATTTTTTATGATATGATTTAATTCATTGTTAATTTGATCATCATTAGATATAATTCTTAGTTTACTATTTGTATAATTATTTTTTCCTTCAAATGCATTTTCTTTTATTTTAATATCTTTATTTTTTAAGAATTTATCATCTAATAAAGTCTTTTTTTCATCATCTAACTCATTTAAAATATTAAAGTTATTATGTATAAAATAATCTAAATTTTTATTAATAAATGAATCAAAAATATTGATAAATTTTTTTTCCTCATTATCATTTAGATTAGTTATTTTTTTTTTTGATTCACCTAATTTTATTTTTATAAGTTGCTCATATATAGAAATTTCTTGCTTTAATTCTAATATATATAAATTATCAGAACAATTTTCTTTTCGTTGATAACATGAAAGTGCGTTTTTATATAATTGAAATAAAATTTTTAATTCGGAATAAAAATCCCTTAAAAGCTTATATTTGTTCAATAAAGAATCATATTCTTTTTGTAACATATCATTTTTTTTTAATATTTTTTCTATATCACTTTCTTTATTATCATTTGTTTGAACAGTAGCGCATAATTTTATATTTCTCGCTCGGAATGCATATTTAAGAGTATTATTAGACTCTTGAAAAGATTTTCTAGAAGGATTAATATTAGCTATCATAACAACTAAACAATTTCCTTCCAAAGAATTTTTTAACAAATGAGTTAATTTGCTATCTCTATATTTGACTCTTACTTTTGACATATTTCTATTTGATGCTAGTGAATTTATACAATTTGCTAAAGCTAATAAGGATTGATTAATATACGATCCTTCCTTAAACCGATCTCCTTTATTAGAAGTAGCACTAGCTCTCTCAGAACCAGCTAAATCAACAAAGCATAATTTTGCCTTATAATTTATTATGTTCATACTGCTATCTAATATTTCATTAAAAACATATATTTGTAAAATTGCGTGAGATCTGCTTGATACTTTATTTGCTCTAGTAGGAGACATTTTTCTATTTTTAACTCCTTCAATTATTAATAACATTGCTTGTTCATAACTTTTAACTTCAATTTCACATAAATTGCTTACTTTTACTTCTGCTACATCTTCTTGAACTTCTAGAGTTTTATTTTTTTCTTTTCCTAATAAATCTCTAATAGTTTCATTATACACTTCTAGAAAACTCATAACTATTTTTATATTTCTACATTTTTCTTCTTTTATAATTGTAAATAATTCTAAAAGAGATAATTGAACTATTCCATTTTGATTTTTATCATCAAGCATTGTATAAGTTTTACCTGACCCTGTTGCACCATAAGCAAAAACAGTACAATTAATACCTTTAAAAACATGAGGTATTAACGGTTTAGCTGTATGAAAAAATACTTCTTCTTGAGTAGAGTTTACATCAAAAACAACATCAAATACATACGTTGCTTGCTTTTTTTTTTGAGATAGCAAATAACACTCTTTTTCATTTTCTTTTTCTATAAGTACATAATTTTTGTTAAAAATAGAAACAATATTTTCTTCTGAGTCATCTATTGGCTTTATACGAACTGCCACTTTCACATTTGAATATGCATTTAATGTATTAATTAAATTATTGTTATTATTTTCTCCCTTTTTTGTGTTACCATCATTATTATTATTATTATTATCACTGTTAATTATGTTTTTTATATTTATTTGAGGTATATATATACTATCATATATATTTTTAGACGTTATAGGATATTCATTTATATTTTCTAAAGAATTTTTATTATTGTTGTTTCTTACTGATAATCTATTTTTATTTACTTTTTCCATATTAAAATTTTTATTTTTTAATTCTTCATTTATTTTACGTATTTTATTTAGTGCATCATTTTGCACACTCTTTTTATCATCATAATTATTTATTAATGCATTATTAATGGTATTTTTATTTTCATAAATATTTTTGTTACTTTCATTTATATTGCAAATTTTTTTTAAAGAAGAATCATAATAATTTATTATACTATTTACTTTATTCTTTGCACTGTATTTTTTTTTTATTTTATTTTCGTCACTACAAATTAAAATAGGATTATCTTCATGAAAACAATTGTGATTTAAAATTACATCATTAAATTTTATTTTTATATTATCATTTATCGCATTTTTTGAAATTTTTTTTGCATTATATTCTTTATTTAAAAATAATTTTTTATTATATTCAGGCTCGTTTTTCGTTCCAACAGAAATATTTGAAATAGCTATTTTTTTATTAATAGTGCTTAAATGTTTGGTATCATTATTTGCTCTTTTTTTTTTTAAAATTGTTTTACTTTCTTTATTATATAAGCCCTGTTTTCCATCTTTTATGTTACCATGTGCATTTAAAATAATATTATTTTTTTTAATGTTATTTATAGTATTTTTATTTAAATTTGTGTATTTTTTATTATACATATATATATCATATAAGTTTTTATTCTCTTCATTTTTGTTCCATTTAATTCTATTTGAAATTCTTCTATACATTTTTTTATTTTATTTTTATTTATTCTTGAGGTATTTTCTTTTTTTTTTTTTTCTTTATTTTGTTTACATACTACATTAATTAAAATA